TAAACGTGACATAAGTGTTTCTTTCTGTTCTTTAATGCGGCCTTTGTGTTTCCAGGTAACCGTGTGTGTGTGTGTGTGTGTGTGTGTGCGCGCGCACAATTGATACATGTTCTCATGCATTCTTTTTGTATTTTCTAAATGGTAGTGGTTTTTGATGTTCATCTGTGATATTTGTGTTTCTGTTTGACTTTTACGTGTGTGCATGTTTGCGTCATGTTGGTGCGATTTATGTATGTGTGTTCACAGCTGGTTTTTCGTTCTCATTCGCAGCTATGTCACTGCCATTTTTTTTTCCCTTTCCCTGTGAAGCCTGGTGTATGTAGTTGTTTTTTTTAACTAAACAATCTCTAAGATCTGATGATTGCAGTGTGTTTACGTTCACTTAAGAATATTCCTAACACCTAACTGCACGAACATGGGTATAAACAACACATATTGTTTCTTTGACATGTAGCTTTCTGAACCACAGGCTACAAAAAAAATATGGATGTAGCTAATGTGATGTTATCCACAAATTTGTGAAACCCTTTTCTGAATCCTGAATGTTGCAGATGTTACCATGTTTGTTGGTTTTTTGTTGTTTCTAGACAGGAACTGAATGCAGTTATTCACACGGCAGTCCTTGATTTAGCTTTCAGTGAATGTTTTGCTGTAATGTTTGTTTTCAGACAAGGCAGCACCTCCAGAGTTGCCCATAGTGATTGATCATATCGCACTGAAAGACATCCTGGGGCCTCCAGTGTTCGAAATGGAGGTAAGCAGAGAGAGAGAAAGAGCAGCGTGTGCAGTGTTCATAATCCACAAGTTTATTACAGAAACATGCAGAATTTATTCCCATGAACATTTTTGACCGCCTGAATTTTCTGGACCTCAACCGATGCGATTGGTTTCCATCACAATCCATGACTCTATAAAGGCAGCCTGTGAGCAGATCTCTCAGCTCCATACAGCTGCTGCTCATCCTGTCAGATTAAAGTCATTTGCCTTTCTCCCTTCATCTCTCCAGGTCATGTGGAACTTGTTTTCTATGTACTTTTATGAGGATTGAAAAAGATGTTTTCACGTGTGCATATTGGCAGGTCTCTGAGCGGCTCACCCTGCCTGGTGTAGCTCTCGGCCTGGCCTGGACGCCGCTTGGTGGGGAGATCATGTTTGTGGAGGCCAGTCGGATGGAGGGAGAAGGTCAGCTCACTCTCACGGGTCAGCTGGGAGACGTTATGAAAGAATCTGCCCACTTGGCCATCAGCTGGCTCAGAGCGAATGCTAAAACCTACCAGCTCACAAACAGTGAGTCCAGATACACCAGTGTTTATATTCTATTTTGTAGTTTTAGAGAAATACAAAACAACTTATGTTGTGCAACTGTGTGTGTGTGTTTGAATAGTGGTGGGGGGTTCAGATCCTTTAGAGGGGACAGACATCCACCTCCACTTCCCCGCTGGAGCCGTCACCAAAGATGGCCCCTCTGCTGGTGTTACAATCGTCACCTGCCTGGCTTCACTGTTTAGCGGCCGACTGGTCAGATCAGACGTCGCCATGACTGGAGAGATCACGTTAAGAGGGCTTGTGCTGCCAGTAAGTTATCGTAGTAAACACACATAAAACGATCATCTCTAGTCCACTCTAGTTTTGACAGACAAGTGTGGCCCGTCCTCTGCAGGTGGGCGGGATTAAGGACAAGGTGCTGGCTGCACACAGGGCAGGAGTGAAGCGCGTCATCCTCCCGAAACGCAACGAGAAAGACCTGGAGGAGCTTCCAGCAAACGTCAGAGCCAACCTCGACTTTATCACAGCCACAAACCTGGACGAGGTGCTCAACGCCTCTTTCGATGGAGGGTTTCCGGGAGTAAGCAGCACGCGTGCACACCCTCAGCTCACCAGCAAACTGTAACACACTGCTCAAAACACATTAACAATGTAAGGCATCTGTGATCTTGGATAATTAAGCCGTTTTTTGATCCTTAGAAGAGCTGTAAGGTCTTTTTGCAGATGATTTATTCAGTATTACAAAGCTAACTTGAAGTTGAAGATGGAGCTGAGATACAGGAGAATTCAGTTTACAAAATCCCCAGCTCCTCTTTGCTAATAGCACTGTGCAGCCAGCTCAGAAATAACTGCTAAATATCATCATAGTGGGGCTTTGTTTTTCATTTCAACTGAATAGCTGCTTATTTCATTTACATTGACCTTGTATTAGTAGCCTGGCTATGTCTTCCGAAGCAGGGGGACTAGTGAGTGATACATGCCTTAAAGATTTATACAGGTTGAATTTGTGCGCTGAAAAAGCCCAAATGTGCATGAAGAGTGCTGCTAAGGGAAAGAAATTGATTGATGTTTGTTTATGTAAATTGTTCTCCTTAATCACATATTTTATTTCACTCTAGTTGGATTTTTATCAGTGGATCTTTCACATCCACAATAAAATTTTATTTAGCTGCACTGATGGTGATGAATATATTCTGTGATTAAAAACTGTAAAGATTTTTTGTTTCCATTTCCTCCACTAGGCTGATAAATTGAAACATAAAATAAATTTTGATTTCTTTTATTTACTGTGACATTTACCGATTTTAATTATTTAGCCTACGTTTTTCCTGCTCTTGGAACTTTTAGTTGGACAAAAACTAGAACTGTACAGTTGAATATGGATGCATCTTAAAAGTATAGCTTTTTGATGCTTTAGCCTCAAGGATTCAAGTGTGCAGTAGAATATTCAGATGATTAGCTGACTAATATCTTTAATTTGATAGCTCACTGAGATGACTTCTGATTCTGATGTTGTTTTTTTAGTGAGTTATGGTTAAATCATAGAGGGACATGATTCCATAAATACGTGTTTTACTGAAAAGCATAAAATGGAAAACACTAATGTCCAGTTATTTGTTCGACTTTTAAGCAGTCTGAAAATATCACACACATGCATCCAAAGTCCATTGGTGACACCATAGAAGACAGTTTCTTCCATGCAACCTCGTATTTTGGTCATACACAGTAATACTGTGTAACAGCTTGAATAGTTGCATGTTTAAAAGTGCTCATTCATTGTAATAAACGTTTCTGCCTCTGAGGGGTGCTATAGAGTCTTCATGAGGCTGCACTTTTCTTCAGTCTTGTTGAGTGCTACCCTCTTTGTTTTGTCACATTCCGCCTGCCTAGTTTACTGGTCTAGGGGAATAGGTTTCCATGCGAATCTTTAGTAAACTCAACTAATCTAAGTTCATTATTAATTTCTGCTCATTTGCTTTATAGGAGCTATAATCTTGTACAGCAAGAGATGAGCTTGCTGGCAGCCTGCTGAGATACAAAAACTAGAGATGAAGAATAATATTTAAGGATGACGTGGCCTTCAAGAGTAATCACGAGGGGAAATGTTTTTTTGTTTTTTTTTTAATGTCTTTCCATTCTCTTCTTTTTTTTAAATTATAATGCAAACAAAAATATTCAGTCCACAGTTTTATAGCTTGTCTGACAGTGAGATACGCCCACACATTTGCTGGTGGTAGTATCCTCTTGCATCACTTTTTGGAGGTACAGATGCCTTTTTGTCAGCTGCTTTGTTTCAGTTGTCGGCTGAGATGTGGAAACCTTCGAATTAACTCATCTGTACCAAAAAGGAACAGAAGCAAGAACAGTAAGAAAAAGTGCAGTACAAAAAGTAAATACATGCCTCATACATGTGATGGCAATAACGCAGCATGCACATTATATGCTAGTGTTCTTGCAAGACACCTCGAGCAGGAGGAACTCCTTTGAGCACAGATTTGTTAGAACAATTTGAAATATTTTGCAAAAACATTTCTTTATGACTATAAGAATGTTTACTGAAAAAACTTGACAGCCATCATATTTAAATATCACACAAAACAAAACAGTGCAAAGTCTGACTTATTCACTGAAGTTATAAGTTGACTGTACTGGGGGCTACATGTTTGAGTACACATTAGCTAAATATTACACGCTGCACGGTGCAGTATCAAAGAGACTACTGGAGTCAGTGTGCCTTGCCACAAAACTTTTTTTTTCTTCAATTATTTAAACAAAAGTGTTTGGTGAGTTGTAGATGTTCTAGGTGAATCTCTCAAATTTTGGAAAAACCTGAAGCTCTCTGCACAACAGAGCACCATCAAAATACACTCCAACTAGTTTGTGCTCACCAGTTCCTCCAAACACATTTGATGCAATAGCTCTTACAGAGAGTACTTGTCCACCCAGAGGATGCATCATTGTGCCAATACGCTGCTGAATTAAAGCATTTTTCTGGTCAGCTGCACATTCCCTTTGTGCTTGCTGGGGTTTAGCAGTCCGTGTGGGTGTGGAGCACTTCAACTTCTTTAAAACAAATTATATTTGAATAATGAAGGTATTAGTGTTTTGTGTAAAGATGCATTGTTGTCAGCTTTTCCAGACCTGGGACGTCCAGCTTTTATAAATCACCCCTGAAACTCAAGTACATCTTTCCAAAAGATCTTCTGCCACTTTTCCCTACCATTAGTCCTATTGCTACTTCAGCCACAATGATGCACTGTTTTAAGGAATAGCAATATTAATAGCAATCTCATGGCAGGCACTCAACTGAAGTTCTACAATGTTTGTATACAAGAAACTATCGGGATGGGATATTTGATTCAGTGTAAAGTCTGGAATACTTATAATGGTGTTGATACGCCTCTCGTGAAACTGACGACTGGAGTTGGTTCAAAATGCACATCACCGAAATATTTAGAAAAAGCAGATTTGGGCATAGACTTGTTGCTTCTTGCTTATGAGGACAAGACTCAGACATGAATGGTCAATAGCTCTTGAAAATTAACCTCAGCCCAAATGTTCAGCCGTTCTTTCAGACAACCTGACAAAAGACAAGAGAAACTACAGGGGAGCTTTCACTTTATTTTAGATAAATACAGGAAATCATCCTTCTTGCACTGTAGAGCTGTAAAGGAGGAGACATTTGTGAGGAACAGATTTTAACAACATGAAATGCCATGTTGTAATAGCTAGAAACTAATGACCCACCTCTGCCCTGTGAGTTTGGGTCATGTCTTCCATCCATGCCAGTCTGAAGCTGACCGATGGAAATTTGGCCAAGGGTCAGAAGATGGATGCTTTACATGACCCCAATGAGGTCCACGGTAATGCCACTAGTAGTTATTCCACGTAGGATTCATCTGGAAGTTGTAGTATCCACTGTAAGGGTCGGCATATCTTTGAGGATGACGTGGCCTTGATGGGTGTTCTTCTCCAGCTGGCTTCGGAAATGCAAACTCCTGCAGGCGGCCTTCATCATGATGCTGGTCAGGGTACAGCCTTGTGTGAACTGGCAAATGCTCTGTTTGACGACTCAAATCATCTTTCTCAGGCCTGTGTCGACATCCACCGTGATGTTCCTGGCTACCTGGAGGGCGTGGAGAACCATGTGAAAAGGGAATGGATAAGCTGAACTGGTAGCCCAGGTTTGAAGGATCATGGGCATGGTCTCTGCGGGGATTATTAAAACTCTTGTCAATAGTAAGGCCGCTTGGTCCGTACCGAGGAGGATTAGCACGATCATGAGAGTGAGCAAAAGGAATCCTCAGGCTTATGTCAAAGCTCCTGGGCTTGGCCACAAGATTGTTTCTGTGTGCTCGTGGCTGGACCAGCGATGTTTCCATGGGTCTGTTGGTGGGAATATTAGAGCGTTGCTGATATGATCTTGGGGATTCGACTTGAATCTGATTACGCACATTAGGGTAGATCTGTGGATCTGTCGGCCTCAGAGCCCTCATGTATTGGAAAGGGCGAGGATTTCCATACATCTTGTTCCCCTCTTCCACCCTGCCACGTTCTAGGCTGCACAGAACTTGTGGCTGAGAAAGAACATGGGTATGAGTACAGATTATAATCATGTTGGTAAAGCTTAGAACACATCTACAGTTTGTCAGTATTGTTTAGATAGAACTTCAGTGTTGAGTTTATTAAGCCAGTGTCAAAGACATTTGTATTCTTATACTCTTAACAGGAGGAAGGAAGTCCGTTAATTTGTGTGATCCACTCACAGAAAGCATAATATTCATATAGATTTATACCATCTACAGTTACCCAGCTTGAATTTTCCTTTTCCAAATTTAACACTGAAGAACTCCATCTTTTCAAAGCAATTACTAAAGTAAAAAGATAAAACACCATGCTTATGATGACTGATTACATAAGTTGAGATTTTGGTATCTAAACATCTGCAAGTTAACTTAATGCATCATACATGGAACCTGTAGAGTTTCCCCCCACTAAATGAAACCCGGCTGTGACGTTAAAGTAATGCAAACTCAGCGTTACATTTTACCTCTCAGTGTGCTGTGAGCCATTTAAATACCCTGCTTTAACCAAATCAAATCTGCCAATTTGAGCATGAGGTATCTCGACCCTAACCCAGTAGCTGCAAAGTCCTGATAAGGTACACTGGTAGACCTGTTTAGTGACCAACAGCTTTATCACCTGAAGTGGGGGAGAGGAAAAAAAACTGCCTGGATTACATACTACACATTTTGTTCCAGTGTAAATACTGTTAAACCTCTTTCAAATATTATCTAAAGAGATGCTGCAGATTCTGGATGCAGGCAGGACTTCACTGGACTCCTCAGGTAAGACATAAAGTTGTCATTTCATAAAATCATTAGAGTAGGTTTCAACATGCTCACCTTTGGGAAGAGCTGAGGAATAGTTCACATCACTCAAAACATAAAGCAGTAAAAACCTGTCAAGCAGCACAAATACAGTCAAGATAAAACCAGACCAAAGCTTCACATTCAAGTACAGGAAGTGCATATCATGAAAATACATTTAAACATTGTACCTTGCAATTAAGAACCGGGCAACCATGACTCCAGTAGCTGCACTCACTGTCTTCACAAACCCTCCAGCTGGACTGTGCATGCAAAGCACTCACATTTCCACGGGTCCACACACACCAGCTACTCCGACCAAACACCAGTGTACATCTGAGTTACGTGTTTAGGACATGCTGCTGTCTTTATCGGTCCTTCCTACTGGCAGGTGTTTCCAATCAGGCTTTTTTAATGAGAAGTTGAACTGAGGTACCCAACAGATCAACTCCCCCACTTCTTTTATGCATACATGTTTATTTTGCTCTTCACTCAAACTTTTGGGGAGACACAAACTGTTATTCCAGGTAACCTGTTAACCAATCAGAGAATACTAAATGTTTAAAAATCTGGCTAGATTCAAACTTTACACAGGAAAAGTGAAATAAAATCTGAAAAGTTAAACTTACTTTGTCTATTTATGATGCACTGAATTTCATAAATCCAATGTAAATTTTAGCACTAGGTGCAATGACTCCCAAGCTAAGCGAGTGGCTCCAGCAGATCCCAGGAACAACATCCGAGATCTGTGTCCAGAAGAGTGCAGTCCTAGGAACAGCAAAGATACTGCGCAGGACTCTTGAGCTCCCAGGCCTCTGGTAGAGGACCTGAGCTTGAAGAATAGTCCGTCCGCAGGGGGCAATTTTTTATTACAATCAGATAGAGGAAGAAAGAGAGGCTGGGAAGACATTTAACAGAAGGAGACGGGAAGAAAAACAGAGGAGAAGAGGAAATGAGAGAGAACAGACACTGAAAATCTGCTTGATCGCCTGCTGAGAGTGAAAAAAAGGGCAAAAAGCAGACAACATAGTAGGAAAACCACAGCAACAACCATAAGCATCAGTAATAGTAAGTAATAAATATTGAGTGAACAGCATACAGTACTAATAATACATTATATGTTTAGAGGCAGCAGCCAACCAAGATAGTGTGTGAGTACCTGTTTGTACACCTGTCTGAACACTTGTGTATACACCTGTGTGTGTGGGCCCGTTTATGTTCATAAGATTTCTCCATGTAAGTGTCTAATAGTGGGTATGGGGAGCCATAACGTTTCCCCCCGGGTCATCAGCGACTGGAGGAGATCCGGGCCCCAGACATGTATAGGATTTATGTACAGGATTTCTATCTTTACAAGGGGGCAGTTTGAGTGCAGTGATGGAATGTAACTAAGTCAATTTATTGTCTACTATTATATAAGTATAGTTTTGATTTACTTGTACTTGTGAAATCAAGTTTGCCAGGTTCCACTTATTAGGTCCTGAAGGAACCTACTGGAGTGGCAGTGTCGTCTTCAGAGGCCTCATCTTTATCACCATGGTCACCTGCATCTAAAGGATAATCATTGGGACCAGACTCAACAATAATACTCTACCAAAGCTCAGAAAAGACAGATGATATGAGGACTTCATGACAGCAAATTGCAAGAAATGTAAGTTAGTTTCAGGATCTGATGTTATAACTGAAAATTGCCAATTAGCTATTTTTTTTTACCAATACTAATAATGAAATATTATTAGTGTTGGTAGTGCTGAATGTTTTTATAACAGCCTGGTAGATGCTCTATATTAATTTCTTGTTGTTGTTATTTCAGATTGCTTTGTATTCAAAGCCAGGTAGCCAGTCTTCAAAATATTTAGGAGGAAGTTGTCTGGTAAATCCCTTCCAAAGTGGCCAACATTCTTCAAGCCAAGCCAAATTTGCTTCAAGGCCCTTTCACATCGGACACAGCATGCGCTGCGCTCACCGCTTGCTAGAGTGAGGGACCCAAAATATGTGTTGAGTTGGCAGCTGAAGATGTGATTTTTAGAATTGTATTGAAGTAGAAGTTCACTTTTGATGTGAACAGATGTGGATTATCAAGAGCAAGGAGACCCAACATGCAGCAGATTTATCTATTCCAGATAAGCTTGGTATTGCAGCACAGACACAGGATTGTTTCTATTATAACTAAATGTGCACATTGGAACAATTGTGCACCAGGAGTTAAACATTTTAATATTGGCACTCAAAATCAGACTCCCAGTTTTGTTTAACGTAATTCACTTGGATTCTTTCTCAAGTGGTGGGTAGCATGAAGACTTTTCACAAGGAAAATGGCTGCTCAGCTCTTCCTCCTGTGTGTTGGAGAAAGAAAGAACAACATCCAGAATTTCTAAATTGTTAAGACAATGAAGAAATCAAAAGGTGATTCCCTGTGTGATCCATAGAATATAATAGAATGCCTTTATTTTCACTATACAGATGTACAATGAGACACAGAATAGAGATGTAGACTGGGGTTGCAGCCCTGATGAGCTTTTCAATGCCCAATTTCCATTTGCTGTGAAATGTTCATGTGTTACATTTGCAAGATACAGCACACAAGCTGTTTAGTGTTATTTAGACATTTCCGACATGGTTTGTATCCAGGAAGGGTTTCGCATATGTATATATATATAAATGTAAAGTGTAAATTTATATGTTATTTTATACACAAAGAGGTGTTTAAATGGGTTAAAGAGCTAGTTATGTACCCATTCAGTGGTTACATGCTTTGCTATTTACATGTTTACGCATCTGAATGTTTACACATGCATGTTCAAAGCAGTAATAAGTATGTGCTGAATCTACCTAGTTGTTTTCCCTGCATTGATCTGAGTATAGGTTTTCCTGGCTTTGAGTGGCCAGTGCAGTATTCATGAAGGCTATACACAGGAAGTGTTTGGTTGTTGTTGCTGTGTGCTGAGAGTAAAGAGGCTGCTAAGAAAGTTATCAATTTCCATCTTGCTTATTTTAATCGTTCAGAGAGATTCCAAACCACATAGTGAACCCTCACATTACATACATATATTCTCCTCTCAGCCCTGCGGATGGTCTATCCTTCAAGCTCGGGTCCTCTGCCAGAGGCCTGGGAGCTTGAGGGTCCTGTGCAGTATCTCTGCTGTTCCTAGGACTGCGCTCTTCTGGACAGAGATCTCGGATGGTGTTCCTGGGATCTGTTGGAGCCACTCACATAGCTTGGGAGTCACTGCACCTAGTGCTCTGATTACAACTGGAACCACTGTTACCTTCACCCTCCACATCTTCTCGAGCTCTTCTCTGAGCCCTTGGTACTTCTCCAGCTTCTCGTGTTCCTTCTTCCTGATGTTGCTGTCATTCGGAATCGGTACATCTATCACTACGGCCGTTTTCTTCTGTCCGTCTACCACCATTTTGTCCGTCTGTATCTGACAAATAACAACATTTTTTTTTAAATGCCTTTACTTTTTGTTACTAGCAGCATGTCACAAATACACATAGCTTGTTTCCATTTCATTAACTGAATGTAGAGTATATGCAAATGATAACACAGTTTGACCAGCATAAAACAATATTTTTGCACCAACAAAGTGATTCACAAAGCTCTATTACCCAGTGATGTTTACAGTGTAGTTAGATATTTTGAGGAAACTGGACAAGTAAAAGATAAAGAAGTAGTAAACCTAAAAAAAAAACCCAAACTAAACAAAACACCATCTACAGCAGCTGAACAGCAGCTTTTTAATGTCTGCCTTTAACTCTGCCTTTGCCTTATGTGCTGCTGCCTTTCTATGTATGTTTGAATATGTGTCAATAAATTGCTGCATCTAGTTCCTAAAAAAAAGACGCACTCCAAGTCAGTTTTGTTGTTCAATTTACTATCAAAATGCTTCCTTTTTTAAGCTCGTATTTTTTGAATTTGTTCATGAAAATGTTTCGTTGGGAATAATTGATGTAATTACATTTCACTGAATTTGATTTTGCTCGTAATTACACAGGTGTGTAAATTCCAGCCTTGTCATCCTTTGCTTTCTTCTTCCTGGAAAAAAGAAGAAGAAGAAGAAGACAGGAAGTGTTCCTGTTCCTGTTGCTGTTGACGAGCACGGGCGTGAGATAACGGAGTGCGGAGATTTCGAGGGTTCGTGTTATAATTCCTTCTTTCTTTCTTATTATTATCATTAGTAGTATTTATTTTTCCTTCTGCTTTCGGTTAATAGGCTATGAAGCCAGAAAATCTCCGGTGAACATTACTGATGATGAACTAGCTTCTCAGGCCATATAACGACAGTTCAGTGCTCAGCATCGGTGTGTTTCAAGTGCGGTGCTGAGCCAGTGTTTAAAACGCTGCGATACGTCGCGTTTCTACAGAAATGTAGATAATGTGTGTTCAGTGTACTAACGTTTTGTATGTAAGAGGTTTTTGCTCTCACTAGCGCGGTGAGCCATCTGATTCAGCGAGGAACAGAATGAGTCAGGCCTGTCGTTGGGTGTAACAGCCATTTCTTCCACCTGCGCTATCTCACTTCCTTCGAAAATACGACATTAATATCAAGGTTATCAATTGTATCACGCTTGAGATGTACGTGTGTTGGTGTGAAGCCAGTAGCACTGGTATAATAACAATGCTTGTCGTTGCTGCTGCTTTTCCAGGCTTCCTTCGTATGGCACGACTAGCTTCGCCATTGCGCTTGCAGGCGCTGCGGCTATTAGTCCTATTTTTATGGGTGCGGGTCCTCTGTGTCTAAATAGTTCAATTAAAATTAAAGTCTGGACACATAAAATATCTTGGTTTATAATTGTTTCATGGAAAGAAAAAATAGCCAGCACGCTTTATTCACACAAATTAATGACTGATTTTCTGTTTTTTCTTTTGTTTTTTTTTTACAGTATTGCTCCCGGTATTGGCTTTCCTCCCTTTAAGGCCCCTTTTCACTGAACTATAAGATTGCTGTTTCCTCGGCAAGTTAGCAGCATGTTTTTTCTTTTCTGAGTGGTCATCTGTTATTCTTCAGTAATTATTGACCTTTTATACTGAACAGTTCACTGCATTTTTGCAAGCTTAGCTTAGGATGGAACATTGCATCATTTTTCTTCAGTGGCTTAAATCAAGCATTAAATAAATTCAAGCTACAACTAGGGCTGCTTTTTCAAGTGGAAGAAATATTAATATAGCTAGGCTGCTAGACCCCAAAAGGACTGGTAAATGCCATTACCTGATTAATCTGGTGAGTTTGTAAGATGAGTTTCAGCTCTTTACCATGAGATAGCTTATATGCTATATGCAATAGCTGATCTAGCAGTACGAGCTTGTCCCTAATTTCAAGTCACTAATAACTAATCCTTTATAATAATAATAAGAATAATAATAATGATAATAATAATACTTTTAACGTACACTATTTTTGCCATGTATCACGGTGGTCTTGCAGGTTAGCTTTAACCTGATTTACTGTCTCTTTGTTCATGCTGCTTAATGTCTTACATAGAGCAATGTTTATGTTTCATGTATACATTAGTAGAGATTACGGCAAAGTCATCACACACACCTGACCAATTCTGGTATTCTATGGTAAATGACAGTCTGGCTTCACAGTGCCACTGAACTCAGGACGACCCTCATCGAGTCTGTGATTGTTTGGTCTGAGACATTCACACAGGCCTGCAGCTATTGATTGTTTTAGTAACTGATTAATCTATTGATTATTTCATTGATTCTTTGAGTAATCAGATAAAAAAAATGCTTTTGTCTTATTAATGAGCAAATATATGTAGAATAGATTAGAATTCAACTTTATTGTCATTGTACATGCACAGGTACAGGGCAACGAAATGCAGTTTGCATCCATCCAGAAGTGCTTTAGTGATATAGATATATTACAATATATATTAGCAATAATATAGATATGTAAGTATATTACAGAAATGGGTCTATTATGGTATGTTATAATGTACACGGTATGAAGTATGTTATGAATATTCTATAACTATAAGTATGTACAGGCTGTAGTGAGTACAAGCTATGTACAGGATATGAACAGGATATAAATATGAAATAAAAAAACTATACAGAAATCTGAGATATACAGTTATACAGAAATGTGAACTATGCAAGTTATAAACAGTTGTAGGATTAAAAATTATCGTATGTACAGAATGATTATTTACACAGAACTATACAGTAGTGCAAAGAGAAAAATACAGGTCTTTCAAAATGAACTGCTCATTGGCTTCCATTTTAGAAACTGCAACGTTTTTTTTGTTTTGTTTCATTCATCATCTGTTTCATTTGTCCAAAAAACAAAAACATTTGTCTGGATATTTTAATACAACTTCTGGAGGTTTTTTCAAAGTAAATGCTTTAATTGTAATTAAAACAAAGCTTTCTCCAAAGGATGGATGCTGTTTTGGATGTTAGAAACACATTTTCTTTCACTCTGCGCTCTTGGTAATGGCTCTGCTTCTTTGCTCTTGTGTGTGTAAATGGACTCCAGCTTCACGTTAAACTGTGCCTGTGTCATCATCACTGCTGCTGTTGCGTTATCAGTGTTTCTGTTTAAAACTGGGGGCTGTGTGGGCTTAATGTTGCCAAACCTTTTAGTCACACACTGCTCTTAGATACGTTTCTATTGCTCGTCTGTTTTTAGTCGCAAATGTGGCTAAAACGCTTGCTTTTGCCTTCCCATGGTTACAGAGCCGTGCCTTAAACGAAGCATCAACGCAAAGAATTTGTGTTTCACACCAATGGCCTGCTGGAGGTCATTTTGCAGGCTATTTTATTTTATACTTGTTATAGTATAACAAGTAAGATAATGCATGACTTTTAAGAAAAGCGTTATGTGTAATATATGTATTGATTACTTTTTGAATAATGACCCTGATCACAACAAAGAAGGGAAACACCGGCAACATACCACATTGACCACATTGCATGTAATTAATTTGCACAAGTGTACTGTGTTTAACATGCTCCTTAACAATGGTGGTAACTGTCAAAGTGGGGCCATTGAGAACCTAATGAGAATGTATAAGAGAATCATAAATTGCAAAACTTTGTGAAAGGAGTCTAATACACGCCAATCAGTCGACAGGTATTAGAAGTGGCGATACTGCGTTTTTGATGCTGGTAGCTGGCATTGGATTATGACACTTAGCCAATTAAACTTTCGTGTGATGTCAGAATGTAAGGAAACTGTTTATCAGAGGGAAAGTGATTCTTTTTGTCTGATTTTATTTTGTTTGTTTGTTGGAAAATTGTATGGCACCTGGCAACCATTTATATTCTTTGTTGAAAGGATGGCAGCTGTTGTTATTAGCATATAACCAGAATATTATTAGTGTATTTTAAATATATGACAAAGTAACTATTTGTTTTATTTTCTTCTCAACTCTTTTCTTCTCTTCTTTTTCCTCCAATTGTTGACATTTTGTTGCATTTTCATGAGAAACAGGGGGCATGGGAGCTAGCTGATTGTCAATCGCTAGTTGGTGTCTGTGGTGTCTGCTTCAAGCATACCATGTTTGACTGTTCTGGATAGGGCCGGTGCTATAGAGCAACTTCAAGCTGCCATGAATGGCAATTGTCAGCTCACCCACTGTATTCAAGACAGCAAGTCAACTTGGCTGCTTGCACAAATCTTTGCCCACTTTTACATATTTCTAATAGATTAAATCTAAGTGAAGGCATCAATTTTTTGGAAAATGTAAATACTAATGATGGTAGATATAGTACAATATGATGTACCTGGAGCCTCCTTCTTGGTGCTGGGACCGGCGAACTTCTCACCACCAGCTATGTCCACCCTCTGTTTGATGTTATTGTACAGCACCTTGGTCTGTTGTTTTATGCTTTATAAAAAATAAAGTTGTGCGTGTGTGCGTGTGTGCGTGCGTGCGTGCGTGCATGCGTGTGTGTGTGTGTGTGTCTCAATTCTCATGGCTGATATTTTTTTTCTTTCTTTTTTTAACCTTTTGATCAGTCAGGATATCTGTAACGATGGAAATGGATATAAGTGGAGTATCCAGGACACGTGTCTCCATTCTTCCTACAACTGACATCAAAGCCACATTGAAACCAGAAGCAGAGAGACCTCGCTGTGCCAGCACCCCATGTTCACCAATCAGAGGTACTGTTGCAGGATACCAGATTCTCCACATGGACTCAAACTATTTGGTGGGCTTCACCACTGGTGAGGAGCTGCTCAAACTGGCCCACAAGTGGTCAGAAGGTAATCCTGAGAAGGCCCGTGTATCAGATGCAGTGTCCAGCTCCATCAAGAGCACTGTCCCTAAGTCTGTGGACCTGGGCATCCACCGGTCTTCACGTATTTTCAAAGCCAAAGGCCGGTACTACCAACCATACGACATTCCTGCTACTAATGGACGAAGACGAAGGCGTATGCCCAGTTCGAGCGACACCTTCCTCAGATCTCTGGCCCACGGCGAGTCTGGGAGGGCTCTGCATGCTCCACTACCACTCTGTTTGCTTAAAAGTAAAGGTGCCCAGTCCAAGTCTCTTGACTACCTTAATCTGGACAAAATAAGTATCAAAGAGTCATCAGACACTGAAGTGCTACAGTACCAACTGCAGCACCTCAACCTACGAGGGGAGCGTGTGTTTACCAGAAACAAGACATGAAAGCACAGTGAAACTTTTTTAGATGTGTTTCATCCTCTGGGGTATTTAGGTGCTATTTCTAGACTTGTTTCTTTCTACTATGATTATAAACAGTTCTTTAAGGAGACAGTCTGATGATAATCTTGTTCTATTATTAGTTGGGAGGTTTACCTTGTTCTGTATGCTTAGCATTATGAGGTTTTTGAGGTTAAAAAATTGAATTATATAAATTTAGCAATAACTGATGGACCTATTTATTGACAATTTTTATTGGCATTGTTGTGTGTTTGTAATGGTTGGATACACACTATTATACCAGCTTATAGCTGAGAAAGCACATATCACATACAGTATCAGCTTTAAAATGCACCGTTGACATCAGTACAATAGTTTTACTGTGACTGTTCTTGTTTGTTTGACATTAAGGAACTGCATTTGGAGTTGTCAAATTAACAATATAACGTTATTGTATGTTGCACATTTATTTGCGTATTTATTTATTGATGTAGTACTGTTGGTTTAGATGTCAATATGATTTCCACGCTCTAATTTACAGTAATGTAAGTAAATCAATTAAAAACAAAAAAAACATGCCACTTGAAGTTTGTCGTAATATAAGATATGCCATGTGCTTTTAAGAGGTTTTTTTTTTTCCCTCTGATTCACAAATATAATAATTATCAGTGCTTACACTACCATTTAATCGTTTTGACACACCTTCTGATTTAATGTTTTTTCTTTATTTTTACAACTTTCCACATTATAGGACGAGTTGTGTTGTGCAGAAGTCAGGTTGGTACACAGCTGAGAGCCCAACTGTTAGAATTCATATTATGGCAAGAACCAATCAGCTAAGTAAAGAGAAACAACAGTCCATCATTAATTTAAGAACTGAAAGTCAGTCAGATGGAAAATTGCTAAAACTTCCAATACGTGCCCAAGTGAAGCCGCAAAAATCACTAAGCACTACTATGAAACTGGCTCGCATGAGGACTGCCCCAGGAAGTGACCTTTGCTGCTGAGGATAAGTTGATGCAAGTTAACAGCACCTCAGATTAGAGCCCAGATAAATGCCACACAACAGTCCCAGTAGCAGAACATCTATGTTCAAATTAGGCTTTTATGGTCAAATAGCTAAGAAACCAATACTAAGGAAAAGTAACAAGCAGAAGACATTTGTTTGGGCCAAGAAACACAAGGAATGGACATTAGACCCGTGGAAATCTGTGCTTTGGTCTGATGAGTCCAAATTAGAGATCTTTGATTCCACTCGCCGTGTCTTTGTGTGGGGCTGCTTTCCTGGTGACGTTGAAGGCTCACTGAACCAGCATGGCTACCACAGCATCCTGCAGCAACACGCCATCTCATCTAGTTTGTGTTTAGTTGAACAATCATTTATTTTTGAAAACATTACAAGGACCCCAAACACACCTCCAGGTTGCACAAGGGCTATTTGACCAAGAAGGAGAGTGATGGAGTGCAGATGGCCTGGCCTCCACAGTCACCTGACCTAAACCCAAGATCATTTGGGATGAGAGTGAAGGCAAAGGGCCAACAAGTGCTCAGCATCTCTGGGAACTTCTTCAAGACTGTTGGAAAACCATTTCAGGTGACGACCTCATGAAGCTCACCGAGAGAATGCCAAGTGTGTGCAAAGCAGTAATCAAAGCAAAAGGTGGCTGTTTTGAAGATTCTAAAGTATAAAACATCTTTTGAGTCATTTCACACATTTTTGTTTACTACATAATTCTACATGTGTTCATTCACAGTTATGGTGCCCTCAGCAAGAATCTACAATGTAAATGTTCATGAAAATAAAGAAAAACCATTGAACGAGAAGGTGTGTCCAAACTTTTGACTGGTAGTGTATGTACTTTCACTTTTGATTGAATCCAATAACTGATGAAAGGTGGTAAATATAAATGACAGAGGAAAGACATGTAAAATATCTCCAGTCAGACTTTAACTAAGGATGCTTCAATTATTTGGTCATCTCCTTAGACCGCTGGTATCGCTTACTAATGTGACTATGAAAGGCATGAGAAAGAATTTTAGAGGGATGCAGAGTTTGCCATGCTTCTTTAAGAGACTCAATTTGCAGCCACACTGGACAGAATGGAGGATTATCGTGTAGTTTGATGAAATTCAACCAAATGACCATGTGTCTTCCACTACAGATAGTGTGAGAGAGTGTCACTTCACTTCTTGTAAATCTTTATTGCTTATTGTAGCAAATATGTATCAGTGCATCATTTGTTTTCTGCATTGTTCATGACGGCAGTATGTACAGATGTGAGATGTGTTTTTAATAAGTGTGTAGATTTCCCTTACAGCTCGTAATGGTTGAGTTTTCAGTCCCTCTGTTGCAGAACACTTTTTTTCTGGACGTATTGCACTGTTGGATGTGTGCTACAGACTGTCTCTGGAATTCTCTGCTTCTGTCACCACCATGGCACTAACTATGTGTTCCTATAGAAAACACTACAACAACAGTATTGTATATATAAGTAAGCCATTAAACACTTACAGATCTGTACACCCCTTGAGTATGCACCGTTGGACATGCTTCTTTGAAAGAATTGAAATTGTGAATTCTTGTTTCAGAACTTGTGTTTTTTGTTACATTTATCAGTGTAAAATGTATTAATTTAAGCTGTAACAAGCCTTTGTGAAATCTAAATTTAATGTTATAATGGCATCTCCCAAGTTCTGTTGCGTAAAATGAAATAATCTGAGGTGCAATCTGTGAGACCGTTTATCTCAACATTCTCAGGTCAGAGCTATAGAGCATGTCAGTCGCATTGCTGTATGCCACTGTAACTTTCTAATACAATCTGAGAGCCAGAAATTATGAATTATGATGAGCAATAATTATTACCATTTAAAACATCATAAATACTGTAATATTAATTATGTAATGATCAAAACAAGCACATTTCTAAATGAATTTAGCTTTTAGAAAGTGTTGTTTTTGTCTAAAAAGCTGTGTAAAGAAAGAGAATTTTGAGTTAGTTCTTTCTGAATATTTATAATACGAATATTCTCAACTTGGCCCAGACTCAGATGAAGCAAATTCAAATTGGGTAGTCTGCAAAATGTCCTTTCAACAAGTGTATTTTCATTTCTTTTTTAAGTGCATTTCACTTTATCCACAAATACTTGGTGGAAACAAAATAATAATGCAGTGTTATGATAATATAACAATATAATTTTAAAAAAAAAGACTTTAACATTTTTAATGTTGTTGTGTGAGCTGACATTAGTGATCTCTTAACATGTTACACTACACCTTCCTCTATGAACTTTAATGTTTGTCTTGATGGGAACAAATATTAATTAGCAATATGAGTGACTTAAGTTAGGCAAAAAAAATTTACCTAAAAGAAAAACCTTTGGCAGTAGAGGATGTGAAATTCAGTAGTTTACACAACAGTTTAAATAGCCAGACAGTCTGTGATATGCTGTGAAAGGTAATGTAGATCTCCTGTGTAGCCAAGTTCTTTTTTGTACTTTATTGTGATCACTTTTTAAAATGTTCCTATTTCTTTCAGCTGATAAAAAAAAAGAAGTTTTCTAAAGTTTTTATCTATTGAGCGCGATGGAGATCACTGTAAATGTTGCAGTAAACGATTATCTGACAATGTGGCTGTATTGAAAGCTGCTTTTGGAGACACCCCAATAATGATTGAATATGATGACTTCATAAAGAACTTGGGTCACTTTAAAAAAAAAAAAAGTCATCCCACTATCTTACTTACTTAGTTGCGCATTAAGTCTCAATTCTGAACTGCATGCAGTCACTTTAATAGAAGGTTGTGTGCAAGGGGCATGAACAGCTCACTGTCAGCTAGACTACCATGTAGAAGACACACAGCTCAGAGTGACTATAGTAGAAGGAACAAAATGTTCAAAGGCCAGTAATACAACACATAATACAAGACAATAAAATACAAGCAGAAAACTTGCAAATTTGAGAGGAAATTGCATCTCACTACATTAGAGGATCGTCATTTAGACTGGAAAAAATTCTACTCTATTCTGTTGTTCTACAAAAAAGCCCTACGTAAAGCAGGAATATCTTACTATTTATTATTCAAGAAACTCTATTAGTAGCACATCTCCTAATCCGAGGTTTGGTGGTTCAATCCCTGCATGCCAAAGTGTCCTTGAGGAAGATACTGAATGCAGAAAGAGTTCATAAATTAATTTAATTTGAATCATAACATTTGTAAGAAATGGATGGTAATTAAATGTAAGAAGCAAAATCTCAGGACTTGATTGTAGAATTTATTACAGTGACAGTAATACATTTCTGTCTGTTCTACAGTGGGGGGGAAGTATCAAAAGGAAAACTGGTATAAAAACACCATATTAATATAAAAGCATAGAAATGTCAACATGTGATATAAAAAATTTTAAAAAATGAAACCTGCCCAAAGAGTGTTTGGAATTCACAACACAGTATAAATGAAGTACAGAACAAAATGGCTAAAGATTAGAGGGCAATTAGCTAAACTGATGTAATCAATATCTTTTTGTTTTCACTGAGTCTGTTGTTAATTTTAATCTTGTGAATTTTTTTACGAAGCAATCTAAAAACATTTTTTAACTGAAATACGTGCACACAGAAAACAATAAAATGACTCACATTTCCTTTAAGAAAATGAAAAATATCAGAAGTAATTTTATTAATATCCAGATATTATTTTGCCTATAAGCCTGATGTCACCGTCCTGCAAAATCCTCAGCATTCTTAAGTAGTTGGTGCTGTCTATAGAGACAGGCATACAGGACGTGTAAAGGATGCTTTCAAAGGAAAAGAACATGGTTGTTTAAAAACAATGAAAAGGTATAAGGTATTTTTAGGTATAAGATTAGTTAGGTCAAATAATACATCACAGGAAATGGAAACACACATGTAATCCTTTTAATACAGTCTACACAGATGAAGGTGATCGATGTGATATTTGAACCGTTTAGCGATGTACTGACTTTTCCCGTGTGAATGTTTTTTAATCATAATAAAATTTATTTATAGAGTATAAATTTTACGCCTCATTTGTTTGCGTATACAACCTTGATCTAAAAAATTAGAATCCATTGCAAAAATCCACATTGAATTATAAAAAATGAACGAGGCTGAAAGTAAGCAGTGTAAAAAAAGAGAAGAAAGAAAAATCAAATAAATAATCTTGTCCCTCACATATGGAAAGTATAGCAGTCTGCAAACAGGAGGCTTAATCAGTGATCCACAAGATTCTGTCAGTATTTACAGACACATGTTCATTCACATTCTGGTCTCTTCTGGTGGTCCATTCATGTAGTGCTGAAGTGCCTGGTGTAAAGGCAGCCACTTCTTTATTGAAGCTTTGATAGCTATAATCCATCTGTAAAGAAAAACAGAAACGTCAACATGACAGCATCTTTCAACTGTTGTTTTTAAAAATATATATATTTAAAAAAGCTTATATACGAGATAGTTTGATAAATCCTGCAATTGTCGTCTAATTTAAGCAGCACACTGGGATAGAGAGTGGAGAGTCGGAGGGCAGAAGCAGCAGCAGCAGCACACTGAGAAGCAGACACAACAA